TGATAGCACAGTGAATTTAATTGTGGGAAACCCCCCTCAGATGTCTGCATTTATGCTGTAAATGTTATGAATTTATTTTGAATCTGGCATTTCAGTTCTATAAAGGTGTGTCTGTCTGTGTATGTGTGTCACCCTGGAAAATTATGCGTGTGTGAAATGAAATGAAAGTACCTATATGTATGCTGCTTTCAGTATTAAATTTTTAAAAAGTTCATTAATAGTATTTCCAGAAGAGCATTATGTCAATAAAGCACAACGAATTGAAAAGTGTTGTCTAAAAATTTTATTTACAAAGCTCATATATTTTAAGTGTTTTTAATTATTTTGAAATTTATATAATATTATTTGTTGTTCCTTTTCAACAGTTGGGAAAGTTTGCAGAATTTTTTAAAATTAGCCACACATATTTGGTAGTGTTTTTCTTTAAAAGATTAAGTGGTTAAGGAGCAGGACTTTTCCTACCCTTAATTACTTCTGGTTCGCTAATGGGCTACTGCTGAGTAGTCATTGTTAAAGGCTTAGAAAGGAAGGCCAAGTGGCTGTTGAATTTCTGGACCTTTTATTTAAGGCTGCCATCCACCCTTTCCCCCTTAAAAGGTATGTACACACATGTGTGTATTTATTCATTTTCATTTATATGTGGATTTTCTAAGGAAATGTAGAAGAAAGTCTATTCTCTAGCTCTCTATTGTGGGATTTTTCTAAAGATTTTTAAAAATAGTTGAGCTATTGAAGAGTCATGTCATAGAAACAGTGTCTGGGTGAATGTAAAATTGCAGTCTGTGGATAAAGTTACACATTCCAAGTTCAAAGAAAAAGCAATATTTTGAAAACATAAATGGAGCTCAAAGTCTGCATTCCTTTTAAAAGGCCAACACCTGTGGAAGGAATGCAGGTTGTTTCCACTTGACCTTCAAGTATGGAGCTGGGCGAGGTGCTTTAGATCTGATGGTGGTCGAGTAGGAGTGCCACTCTATACAGCAAGGTCTCCCGGGGCAGCACCTGTCCTGTCTGTTGTCAGGAAGGGGAAATATGGCAACAGTCAGGAATAGTTAGAGAGTGCCTCCTAACCCCTGCTTTGAAGAGCTTGCTTTGTATGCCACAAAGTCCCACGGTGATGGATGAGTGGGTGTAGATAATGTGAAATAAGCCATAACCCCTCCAAGCAATCAGGCTTGCATTTTACAAGTCCTGGGAAACCCCGGACAAACAGTATGAGTACACTTAGGCTGAGTCCTCTGTGAGTAGTAGTTGAAGATAAAGACATCATTGATGTTCCAGACAGATTCTCATCATGCATAAATCATTCCTTAGGATGGAATCAGCTGCCTTGAGTGGTGCTCCGACTCCTTGAGGCTGCTCACATTAGTTCTGCAGTTTATGGTGGTGTCTGAAGGACTAAACGCACAATTCAACATTGGGAAGAAAGTTACACACAGAACATTCTTTTTGAATAAGGTTTTTATAAGTGCATACAACTTTTGATGGGAAAGTATATTGGTCCGGCTCATTTGTTGTTTATTCATTAATTCTGTAGTTGTTTATTCAACAAGTATTTCTTAATTGCCTCCTGTGTGCCAGGATCTGTTCTCAAGGCTGGGAATACAGTGTTGAGCCATAGCTGACATTGTCCCTGCTTAGAGCACATAGTTGACTGTCGTGTAGTCATGCCTCCTCTACAATTGGGCTTTGTGATCTTGGGCAAGTGACAAGTTCTCTCTACCTCAGTTTCTTTGTATAAATTAAATGTTATTTTTTCTCCCAGTTGACACATAAGATCCTGTTCAAAGCTAATATCCCCCCCCCCTTTCTTTTAATTTTTATTGTTTAAAGTATGACATAGGTCCTTTTATCCCCATGGCTTACTTAGTTTGGTGTTCTAGCAAGTGACTGAATATGGTGGTTCTGACTAGATAGGTGTATTCAGATCCGAGTCATTGATTGCATTTCCATGTGAAAATATACTTTTTCTGAGTATATCCCTCGTTTGTATGTGCCAGCTGTTTAAATGTCAACATATGCATGCAGTTTCTGAAAACTCACCATTATTTTAAAGAGAAAGCATAGATTCCCATTTTTGCTGGGAACATTTCAACAGTTTTGAAGCTTGATCTTCAAACACAAAGGATCATTGTCATTAATATTCTGCCGAAACACTAGCCCAGGGCAGTTGAGTTGTGTTTAGTTGAAATTCAGTGCTAACAAAACTGTGCTTGGGATAGGGTTGTTAAAGTTTGTTGCTGTTCACAATTTAATATTATTGGTAATGCTGATGAACTCAACCATTGATTATATGACCTGATTTTGTAAATAAAGTTTATTGGGACACTTCTTTACGTATTATCTATGGCTATACAGGCATAATTGGGAAAAGGTCCATGTGACTCATAAAACCAAAATTATTTAGTGTTCAAAAAAATTTTATTTTAGTCAATGACGAGAGAGAGAGAGAGAGAGAGAGAGAGAGAGATATCAAATTGTTATTCCACTTATTTTATGTTTTCATTGGTAGATTCTTGTATGTGCCCTGACCCCAGGGATCAAACCTACCACCTTGGCCTATCAGGACAACACTCTAACCACCTGACCTACCAGGCCAGGGCATATTTAGTATTTTTACTAGAAAGTTTGCTGATGCCTGGATTATAGAATATACTTGTAGAATTTAAAATCTCAAGCTCCTAACGTTGAGTGTGAGTGACCATAATGTACTTTTTTTTTCTTCCAGGAAACGTAGTTTATATGCCTTCCCCCCCCCCCCCCCCCAGTATGCTTGTGAGAAATGAGCCTTGTTAATTTGTAACTTTTTTGAGATAGCAGAATTTGATAACTATATACCCCACAATTTTAATCTTTTTTTTGGGGGGACTTCTAGTTTCCATGAGTTGGATCCACAGTGGCCTTGTTTACTTTAAAAGCTGGGAGACCTTATTGCTAAAGCATTTTTATTCTGTTAAACAATTGGTCCTGTGGAGCTTCAGATCCTTACTTTCTTCACATTTCAGCTGTGAGGAGAGATTAGACAAAATTTCAGCAGTGGGTAAGCACTCAGAGATACAGTTATAATCTTTCCTACAGTTTTCCTGTGTAGTTTTCGGGGCTTTAGGGCTGATGGGTCTGGCCCACAGGAGTGCTGAAGTCAACATTTCAGAAAGCTGGCCTCAGTCTCAATCCAGACCATTCATCCAGAGGGCTAGGCCCCAGGTCTGGAGTGTAAACACAATGTTATACAGCTAGGACTGCTGAGCACGCTCGGAGGAGGACCGCTGGAGTTGCTCCCCAGCATTTTCTCAGGCGCTCAGGAGGGGTTGCGTAGACATTTCAGCTTCATTTTTAAAGGATTCACATGTCTACCACAACAGAATACATCCCATTAAGGGGAAAATAAAGAAGTTTTAGAATCCAGCAGCGCTGCTTTTATGGGTTCACATTTGCCTGTGACTCGTCCTAGCACATAATTTCTGAATAAATGTTGGTTTATTTAAAGTACAGGCTCTCTGGTATTTGAAGCGAACCAATGTAACATTTGTTTGGAGATTTCATGTTTACAACCATATTACCGAAAATTCTTAGTTTACTTCATCAACATTTAATGAGTGCCTCTTATACACTAAACATTTCCTGACTTCTTGGGGCTTGCATTCTATTGGGAGTGACTGATAGGTAAAATACTCTCCTGAAAAAGTAAGAGCTGCTCCAATAAGGCATGCACTTGGACCCTAAGCATGTGGTGAGGAGGGGGATGGAAACAGGGCCGTTCTGAGAGGGTTCCCAGGGCAGGACAATTTATTCTGATTCATCCCTAGGGATATTCTTTTCTTTAGAAGGGAATACATACAGTGGTCCCCCCTTATCCACAGTTTTGCTTTCCGTGGTTTCAGTTTCCCTCCATCAACTGCCATCTGAAAACATTAAATGGAAAATTCTAGAAATAATTCATAAGGTTTATATTGCACTCTGTTCTGAGTAGTGGGATTTAAATCTCCCGCATCCCACTCCATCCTGCCTGAGATGTGACTCACCCCTTTGTCTGGTGTCTCCACACTGTATACGCTCCCCCACCTGTTAGTTTGGAGCTGTCTTGGTTATCAGATGGACTGTCTCTGTGCAGAAGTGCTGTGTCCCAGTAATCCTTATTTTACTTAATATTGCCCCAAAGCACAAGAGCAGAGGTGCTGGCAATTTGGATATGCCACAGAGAAGCTATAAGGCACTTCCTTTAAGTGAAAAAGTGAGTGCAGTACAATAAAACATTTTGAGAGACCACATCACCTAACCTTTATTACAGTATATTTATTACAGTTATAATTGTCCTACTTTATCATTAGTAACCTCTTTCTGCGCCTAATTTATAAATTAAACTTATCGTAGGTTTATATGTGTAGCCAAAAAACATAACATATGTAGGGTTCTGCATTGTCCTTAGATTCAGGCATCCACTGGGCATCTTGGCACATGTGTCCTTCAGATAAGCAGAAACTAGTACACGTATAAAGCACGGATACAGGCTTCTAGGACAGGCGTGGGGGCAGAAGGATCTTGGGGCATCTGCGGCCACCACAGTCCAACTGCACAGTTTTTCCCTCTGCCTGGCCCTGCCTCTGAGGTCGAGACATGTGCGAGGACAGGTTGTGTAAGACAGACAGCTTCCATCCTAAGCATGAAGCAGGGGGAGGGATACACTGTGAAACACACCCAGTAGCCCCAGCCATCTCAGTGCCCCCCTCGCCAACCCCCTCCTCAGCCACCCCCCCCCCCCCCCCCCCTGTTCTGGATGGATTCTGCTCCTTGCCCTGGCCCTTCATAGACTCTCTTCCTTCTTCCCAGGAGATTTTATAATTAAATGAGATAAAGGCAGGAAATCTGTAATAAGTACTAACTTCCATGTATGCCAGGTTTTTTTTTTTTTAAAAAAAAGCATGTAAAAAAAAAACCCAACCCAGGAGGCAAACCCAGTCTGGTGGGAAGAGATCAAAGGGCAGCCGCGTGACCTGCTGGCAAAGGGCTCTTTTCCCAGGAGGCCCACATCCTGCCCTTCAGCGCGGACAGCGGAGGAGGAAGTGGTGTGCAGTGGCCTGGGTCTGAGCGAGGGCGGTTCTCAGGGACCTGGTCTCAGTGCCCGTGAGTATGGGAAGGGCCAGCACACAGCTCCTTGTATTCATAAACACGGCTGCGGGAAGCGCGGTTTTAAATTACCACTCCCACCACTGCTCCCCGCTCTCCCCCCTTAATCCTGCAGAGATGTCAGGCCCAGATAGACCTTGGGTGGGGGACAGGCGGGGAGAGCCCTTTCTGACAACCCCCTATCGAATAGCCAGAGAGCCTGCGGATTGGGTTGCAACAGGAATACCCTAATCTTGATCTCATTCTTTTTCCTCTCCCGGAGAGGGTGGGATTGGGTTTGGAGGTGGCTGGAGAGTGGGCCCTGGAGTTGCTGACACCATGTAAGGAAAACCTCCAAGGCTGCTACTCCCATTTGGAGGGCTCAGCAAAAGGGCCGGCAAACAAGCCAGCCTCTGTTTTCTAATCCTTCCCGCTTCTGCTGGCGAATCCTACAAAGGCAGGCAGGCCGGCAGCTGCGCAGAGGCGCTGTGCTGCTCTGGGGAAGGGAAGCTGAGCCTCGGCTTTGCTGGGCTCTGAAATTATTACCTGTGAGTGCAAGCAGGCCAGGCCGCTGCAGCCAGACCTGGGGGTGTGGAGACCCCTCCCCTGCCCGGCTGTCAGCACTCTGAATGTCCACAGCAGGGGATTTATGCCTCCTCCCCGGCCTTGGGCCTTGCAAGGCTTCTGTGGATATACTTAGCCATGACAATGCTGGTTTGGGAATTTCCCTAGGATGGGCCAGGACTTGTTTCCAAAATAACACCTTTCAAAGCATGCAGAGACTTAGAAATTAGATAATTGTGTGATATTTATAAAATGAATTACGTTGTGTTAACAAAGTCAGGACAGCTGTTTCTGATGCTGAAGTAAATAACACCTTATGATTCATTAAGGTTGGGGGCAAAGAGGCTTTTTAAAAAGTTGCTACTTTCCAGCTGAGTCTTTGCAAAAAAAAAAAAAAAAAATCGAGACAGCTCACAAAGTAGGTAATACAGTTTCAAGTTAAAATGTTTATGTCTGCATGTGCATGGCATGGTTAAGTTGTCCTATTTCACTCGTAAAACACTTAGTGAGCATCTAAAATATGCTTATACATGTATGCAGAGACACAGGGATAATACTTTACTGCTCCCGTCCTCCATGAATTCTCAGCCTAGTGAGGGAGACAGATGTATAAACAGATAATTGCAATTCAGTGAACTAAGTGCTAACAGAAGGATAAAAGGAATGCTATGATGGTATGAGAGGTATATCCATTTACAGTGCAAATGGAAAAGAGGGAACGGCTACACACAGGAAGTGACATTTGAGCAGGATTTGATGGAGGAGGGGTCACTTCGAAAGCAGAGAAGGATGTGGCCTTGTTTCGGCTCCTCTTCTTCACCAGCCTCCTCTTACCTCAGGGCCTTTGCACATCCATTCGCCTCTGTCTGGAAAGCTGCTTCCATCGCTCTTCCTCCGTTCAGTCCTTTAAATCCCAATTCCTGTGTCACTTCCTTGGCAAGCCTGACTTTCTAAGTCAAATCCTTTTCTCTTATGAGTGCTCACTCATCACACACCCTCCTTTTGAGCAGTTATCACAGCTGCACTTTCACACTATTTGCATGGTTATTTGAGTATCTGTTTTTCCCACTGGACAGAGACTGGGTCTTTTGGTTCAAGTTTGTTTCTTGACGAAAGACATACTTGTTGAATGAATTAGATGAAGATGCAGGTGTGAAAAAAACAAACGTGTATTCAGACAGCAGCAAGTAGCTAGGAATGCTGGCTCTTGGGGTATGTGAATTGTGAGAGGCAGGGGATTGAGTCATTTAAGGAACTTGGACGATCTAACTTGTTTATGTGCTAGCCTCATTTAATGTTTTTCAGCATAAAAATACCTTTTTTTAAGATCTGTCTCTTAATTATTCCATTATTAGTATCGGATGGGTTAAGTTGAAGATGAAGTATTAAAAATAGAAAAGTGGTTGTTTGCATGTGGTTTGGGGGCTCAACTATACTTTTTAAAAATTATGATTAAGGTGTACCATTCAGAAAGAAAAATACACAGTGCATCATCGCACAGCTAGATGAATTATGACAAGGTGAACATATATGTAACTCCCACACAAGTGACGAATAGGTGGGCTTTCTGGAGCCTGAACTGTAAACATCAGTGTGTGTACTGAGCCAGGAGAGGAAGGATGAGATGGAAGAGTCCCTGTCAGACTCTAAAAGGGCAAGCTTTCTGGAGAAGACAGGAGGGGGATTCTCTTCCAGCTCACTCGTGAACTTGAGAAGTGGTATGAGAGCAATGCAAACCTCACCATTTCCCCATGCATCCCCAAACAGGGCTGGAGCAGCCGTGGGCAAACTACGGCCCACGGGCCGGATCGGCCCGTTTGAAATGAATAAAACTATTGAAATAAAAGACCGTACCCTTTTATGTAATGATGTTTACTTTGAATTTATATTAGTTCATACAAACACTCCATCCATGCTTTTGTTCTGGCCCTCCGGTCCAGTTTAAGAACCCATTGTGGCCCTCAAGTCAAAAAGTTTGCCCACCCCTGGGCTGGAGAGTTCAGGGCCAAGGTTGAGCTGAGATGCAGAGGGGCATGAGGATCTTTTGTTTTTTGTTGTTGTTTTTTTCCCCCAAAGAGTCACTGGCATCTGTCTGTCTCCTCACAAGGAGCACTGTTTTCTTAGCACCTTCTTCGGTGTGGAGCCCAGGAGCGGAGTTTAGATCTTGTTACCCCAGCATTCTGCAGGGAGCAGTGTTGACTTAGAGCTTCCATCACACAGGTGACTTTGGAGTCACCTGTGACACAGTAGATCTGGAATACCAGGGTCTGAGTACTTGGTCTGTCACTTAGTAGCTGGGTGTTCTCTAGTCATTTTTAGTTAATTTTTGTATCTCACTTTCCTTATTTATTAGGTGGAGATAATAATGCAATTGACTAATAGTAGAGTTATTATGAGATTGATGCATTCGTACATGTAAAGTGCTTATAACACAAGCATATAGTAAGCACTAAGTAAAAAGAAAGAGACTCTAGTTAAAAGGACCTTCTTGTTTTTGTCTTACAGTGATGTAGATATCCCTAATGGGATACCAAAGTAATATGAGGACTTTTGAGAGATAAGATCAAAGGAGACACAATAGTATAACTTTGGTAGAGGAAAAAGGATGTGTGAGAGGAACAATGGTCTTTGTAAATAATACTAAAAACAGGACCTGGTTTTCTAGACTAGAACTTTATATACATAAATGGTGGAGTCATGGATAGGGATGGAATGTGTCTCAGGATGAAACAAGAAGAATGCATCTTGAGAGGGGATATCAGTTTGATCTTAAAGGTCATAAGCTAACATTTGTGTTGGTAGTTGGGTAACGGGATACCATAAGGAGACTGTAAGAATGGGGAAAGCAACAAGAATGATCTAGGAAGAACAACCTCAATTCCTCAAAGAAATGTTAGGGAAAGGAGATGAGTATTTATGACTCAGATATCTAAACTGAATGCAGATTATGGCTTAAAGAATAAGAGAATTGGAAATTAACCTAGATAGGTCAAGTAACTTATCTAGGTGGTACTGAAGTAAAGAGGTACTTGTCCTTGGATACCGTAGTAGAAAGAGGGAAGAAAGGAAGGATACACCCACACACGTATGTATGTATGAGCAAACATCTTTCTTCCATGTCAGGTACTGTGTTTAGAGGGTTCCGCTTATTATTTAGTTCTATTCTGTAAACAATTCTGACAACTCAATATCATTAGCCCCATTTTGCAGATAAGGAAACTGAGGCTGAGAAAGTTAACTACTTTGGGCAACGTGTTAAATACTAACTGGGGAGTAGACCTAAGGCCGAATTTCAGCCTAAGACTCCTATTCTATTATATTGATTCTCTTTTATTTATTAAGGAGAGATTCACCTGTGTTTAAAAGCAAATTTTATTTTTATAGATAGAAACAGTGAAAACAGCATTTGGGGAAGAATAAAAAGGCAAGCGAAAGAAGTGATAATATTGTGGTCATACACCAAAGAGTGCCAGACCACATGGAGGAGTGTTTGTATGATGTTTTTTAAAGCTGGAGTTACACAATTAGCATAGTAAGATGACATGAGGGAGGTGAGACTTAATATGTCTGGACCTTTTGCAGTGAATCTCATTTTTGCTAGAACAGCATATGGTAAAATCGAGACTTGCCTTTTGAACAGTTATTATCCCTTGAATGTTAAGTAAATAACCAAGACTCTCAAGTGCAAAGTTTAATTTAACAAATATAGAAACTTCAAAATTGTTTTGGGATGGCAGAAACCTGGGGAAAAGTTACATGATTTCAAAGCCCAGAACACGGGAGAAAAGAGTTAGGTACAGTTACAGCTCTACCTCAGAGGCCAAATGGCTAAGAGACTTTTGGTTGAAAGCCAGTTCTCAGTGTGTAGCTGTTCCTTGTAGTGTTTTGTTGTGAAGACTTTTAAGACCATGAGTTTGAGAAGTCAGTTTCTGTGGGTGTTTGAACAAGGAAGATGGCTTCATATGTGCAAAGTCTGACCTAGCCTTTAAGAGCAAGATTCAACCTGAAGAAGACATATGAACTAGATTAGAAGGTTTTTATTAGCTAGTATGTTGAGGTACTTTGTTCATATGTCAGGCTTTTCCCCACCCAGTGCTGCTGCAGTTTATTTTTAAAATCATAAACGAAGGCTTCTCTGTTTGTTTTCGCTAAACTCCATTATGCAAGTTAGGACCATTGCTCTCTTGTCTCAAGATTTGATTCAGTGGATACGTATGTAAAGGCCCTGGTGTGCAGAACACTGTGCTAAAGAATGTAGAGAGGTCACTGGTGTGGGAGTCTCAGGGAGTCTGTGGCGTAGTGATACATTATAAAATCACACAACAAAAACCAAATGGCCATCATGGATGATCTCGGTGTGTGTTTGTGTTAGAAGAGGGATAGAATATATTCAGTTGTGTGCAGTCAGGAGCGATAGCCAGATGACCTCTACACCGAACAATGGGTACACTCTG